TATTGTTATTGTTATTGTTGTTATTATTATTATTATTATTATTATTATTATTATTATTATTATTATTATTAATGGGGTGAGACTGAAGCCAGTATTGGCCTATTGTACCAGTCCCAGATGATATATGATAGTGATTATGGAGCAATTGTGGAGTGAAGGTTGGTAAGGGAATCCGAAGTACTCAGAGAAAAACTGCCCCAGTTCCACTTTATCCATCACAAATCCCACATAACCTGACCTGGGCTTGAACATGGGCTGCCATGGTGGGAAGCCAGCGACTAACCACCTGAGCTATGGCCCGGCCTAAGTCAACCATTACTAAAAACAGAAAACCAGTGTTACAGCACTCTGCATAATTTGAGGTTCCACACAAAATACTCCCTGAAATAAATCCCTGCTCTACCAAATCCACTGATTATCCTACTTGGATTTGGAGGTTTGGCACTTGAGTTGGTGCATAACAGAAGGTGTCAGTACCTCAGTTACTATAATTTGCATTTTGGTCAAATCTTAACTTCACATCATGTATAAATTAGGAATATTATTACAGTGCTACATTTAGGCCTGCTTGGTAAATATGATGATGTTTCTTGGAACAACAAATACTGGTAAGTCTGTAAATAATTTTAATAGACAAAGTTTTCTTTGTCACTTAAGTGTTTTAATAGACTCTTAAAAAATTCTACATGTTTAAAATCTGAAAACATATTAGATTTCATGCTTTATGTTTTCATAAAAAGACATGAACATAAATTCTCTTATCTGTTATGAAACTGAAGCATGTTAATGCCTCAATTTTCTCAGGCCTCTGCCCTTCTTGTCCATTTCTTATTATTATCTTTCCCTTCTCATTTCCTTTTGGCCCCTCCCCCTTATTCTTCCACTTTTGTTAATTATCAATTAATTACAGTGAAACGGAAAGGGCTGTGAAGAAAGCATTTATGACCCAGTCACCATGAGAGACTGAGGAAAGCCACAAAAATATCACTTAGTATATCTGGAGCTTCAGCTGACATCTAAATCAAATACATCCTAGTGTGTTATCACATTAGCTAACCTATTCATTAACAAAGAACTTACCATTCTTAGGACATGCAGAACATAAGCAACCTATATTGCACAAAAGCACAAACAATTTCAGGATCACTGAAATGAGATGTAGATATCAGAAGAAGCATGTAGACTTTGTTAATAACATAACCATATGCTGTTTTTCTGCTTCATAAGGTTCTCTTTATGCTGACTTATGTGCAAACATTACTTATGCACAGTCATCTTGGCTCCTTGTTGATAGGTACCTCCAACATCTGGATCAGTGCCAGTTTCTCTGAAATCAGCTGGCTCGGCAGAGTCGCTCAATTCATTTGACTCCTTCATAAGAACCTGTTTAAGTTGACTTAAGAAGGTAGAATCATGCAACCTTCACCTGTACATAGTGTCCCACAGCCATCTTGGCTCCTTGTTGATAGGTACATCCATCATGTGGATCTGTGCAAGCTTTTCTGCAACCAACTGGCTCAGCACAGGGTCACTCAGTTCATTTGTCCTTAAAGGCCGAGCCTGCCACAAGAATACACTTAAGCTTTAACAATCTTTCATTTACTTAAGTTGAGTGAGACAATTAGCATGGATCTGGGAAAGGAAATGTATTCATATTTTGGCTGGAAGGCCTTGTGGGATGAAAGCTTGAGAGAACTTAGGTGCATATTGGAGGGTTACACTGTACTGTTCCACCTGGTCAGCAGCATTCTACATATATGCCGAGTGTGCATGTGCCAAAATCATAGTTTTGTGTTGAGCCGTGCTAAGCTTTAGCTCGCTCACGATGATGTCATCATCTTTCCTGTGACGGATTCCATCCCCACTATGCGGTATCCTGACGTCAGTCACGTGGTCCCAGGTACCCTCTCGTGAAGGGGAGAATTGTACAGTGCAGTCGCTTAGACCAAGTCGACTTGGAAGGTTGTTTACTAGCCAGCAGGTTTGTGGTGGAAAATATTGGTTTCGGCTGGGGCTGTTCTAAATTCCCTTTGGTGTTATCTGCTGGCCGGTAAGGACTGCCCGCGGTCGCAAGCCGTTGCTGGAACGCTTGCGACGCGCGTATTGGTTTTGGTTTGGTTTTTAGTCTCAGAATTTAGACTTGCGTTTGTATGGCCGGAGNAGCCAGTAACGATTGCGCGGTGCCCTTCCTCTTCGTAAGGCTAATAATATAATAGTAGAAAAGAGGAGAGGAAGCGGAAGGGCGCGGTGCAGTGTATTTTAGTTTTTACATTTTTACAACTTCTTTATTACATCTGTCACAACACAACTAATATCAAGATCAGTGCCTAGAGCCAAAACTAGGCTAGTTGTGTTGTGATGTTTGTAATAAAGAAGTTGTATATTATAACACAACAGGATGCATGAAATGAAAATTTACATTTTTAGTCTAGTCTCTCATAATTCTGAGGAGAGGATATATGAAAAGATAAGTTAGGAAAATAAAATACTCCAAGAGAAAGGCTCCTCAGACTGAGGGTCTTGAAGGGCAGAATGTCAGGAATATCTATACTTCTGACAGGTGTTAACAAGAAAATGGTGAACTTTACATACTGTGGGGCTTCACATGTTGTACTGTTTGTGTAAGATTGTTGGGGTGATTGAATGGTTTCATAAAATGTGGGGAAATTCGTGTCTAGCTAAGCAACTATCAGCCTCTCAAGAAGACTCTAGTTTCGTAAAGTTATTTTTTACTGTTAATAATGAGAAGGAAAAGGCAAGTGGCTTGCATAGAATATACAGCATACAATGTTTGGCCGGAAAATCTCAAAGGAGATGACTTGTGAGACCTAGGGTTAGGCCAAAGGAGAGACCCAATATTATAGCCCTTAATGAAACAGCTTGTGAAGCCGTGAACAGTGTTCAGCTGGGTCATGACTGTGTCTAACAGCAGAGTTTTGGGAAGAGAGTAAGGAACTTGCAGGTTCCATAATATCAAGGAATATCTTGACTGGCTGGACTCACAGGTATATATTCCTCTAGGCGCCCTCCTGGGAACACCCCGAGCAAACGAGGTCCTCGTTGGCTCTCTGACAGCATTGTGAAGATGACTGCCTCTGTGACAAGTCCCTCCAGGGCTCGCTCGCCATGGAGTTGCCCATAGAATCGCAGCAGGACCCGTGATGGCTCCCCTTGTACCGAAGGACAACCAGCAGGCAGCGAACAATAGTACAGTAGGTTGCTCAAGCCGCCACTGCAACACGGTTATCATAGTAGTGTCATACATTCATGTGTCTGGCTACCCTTATGGCGGGGGTGGGGTGACAAGTGGGCAGCAACACCATTACCAGAGATAAACTGCAGCCTTGAATGCGATATTGGTAAATCTGAATTGTTTGCATGTGGGGTTATAACTGAAAACCAATTTTTAAGGAAATGGTCTTTGTTCAAGGTTTCTATGAGAATATTTCATCACCAGAAAGGTTTGTGGCAGCAAGCCCGAAGAGTCTGAGATTGCCTGTTTTCGGATAATCTGCCGACAGCAAACACCAGTTCGAGAAACAGTCGTAATCTAATGCACATTCTCATCACTTGATTATACGGGGAAAAAGTTACAAATAAAATAAAATATTGACCAATATTATTTGAAACATGAGACTAGAGCCACTGCTCTACTGAAACAGTGTTTTACTAGTATGAGATATATGTGGTAGGTGTCATTAAGTTCGTGGAATGTGGTTTTATCGCATCATACTATTACAAGTTATTCACATACACTTACACAGATCCACATCGACCCTCAAAATAGTTGCTGTTGGCCGATATGCAAGTCTGCCAACGTTGATACTCGTATAGCTGCCGAAAACATTGCTGAAACATATTGGCAGGAATTGTGGCAATGACCACCTCCTTGGATGACTGAAATCTATGACCACATAGCTTTGCTTTCAAGCGGTGAAAGAGAAATAAATCGCACGATGCGAGATCAGGTGAGTACGGAGGGTGTGGCAAAACTGTGACCTGTTGCCTTGTCAGTTCCTCTTGGACAAGAACATAGCGATGTGCAGGGGCGTTGTCGTGTAACAACAGCCAATTCTTCCCACGCCAAATGTTCCACTAGGGGATTTGCCTAGTTTTTGGCAGAACTTGATGTTTGCCCGTTGTTCAAACTGTCGCATTTTCGATTTCCGCCACTTGCATTAAACTGCAGTTCACAATAGAGGTTGTAGTTCTACTTACACTGTTTGCACACAACTGTCTCTTGCTGTGACGAGAGACGAACCGACAGGGCATCATATTGTGCCTCAACCTATCCGCTGTAGTGCACTGCAACGACGCTTTGCGGCAGTTCCACGAAATTATTGACTGTGGTAGTATATCAACCCGTATTGTGAATATATTAGGTATATGCGATGAGTTAAAACAATAAAGTGATTACCTTGGGGAAATAAATTTTAAAGTAAGGCAAAATTACAAAACGGAAGAAAGTAAAACTATCACCTTAACAGACCGTGGAGGCCCATAGGGTTGTGAGATGCTGAGGCTCCCGCATTTTCTAGACAATCGGTTCGCAGATGGCGGCAAGGTTGCCAGCCTTACGCGCCGGTCGCCCTTTACCCCCAGGAATATTCCTGGTACACATTTCTGTTAGAGGCTGAGTCGGCCCCCGGGCCATAGTGCGTCTGGAAGGATTAGGTCAATTGAAAAAACCTCATCGGGATTCGATCCCGCGACCTTCCTGCTTGTAGCATAGTGCCTCAACCAACTACGCTACCGCGAGGCAACATTACGATATACGTAACAAAGCAGCTAGAGCTAGAAACATGGTGTTTAATTCTGCACATTCAGAAAATGACTGTCCGCCGCTTTAAAAGCACACCTAACAGAATGGAGTAACGGCAACACTCTGAACGTGTATTCGGGAGATGCTCTTTTCAGTTTTCAGTCGGGACACCTTCTATAGTAATTGAAGCTTATCGTTGTATTTTTTGGCCAGTCCATGCAAATTGTGAATAGTATGTCTGTCAGGTCACGACCAACCTTCTCCAAATCATTCCTAATTGATCGTTCACCATCAATTCTACAATTCGATGCAGAAAAATAGTTCAGATACTGACAAAATAAGCGGCAACCTAAGAACGTCATTTGTTTGAATCGTCGGCAATTTGAGTTGTTCCTCACAGCGGCCGATCTCTGGCTGTAACACTGCAAGTATCTGAATGCCGACCAGGCAACTATGAATACGGCACGATTATAAATAATAGCTCACTATAAGCGAATGTACATCAAGCACTCGGTTGCATGAACACAAACATTCTTTTTTTAGGTCGGACGTTTCAGCAATCTGAAACCACTAACCAGCATCTTGCAAATTGATCCCCCCTATATGGGATGGATGAAATGATCCTGACCCTTCCCTTAGTACGGAACCCCGAGGATGTCCCGACAATCTGTTGTAGACGAGGAGAATATTAACTCACCGAAAGAATCGCCCTACAAGAATGATTTAGTAAGCTGTCTGTATGCGAAAGAACTGAAGCAATAAAAAAGACTAAATTGCAAATACGGAAGGGTTGGAAAGGCCTCTATAAAAATAGCATTAACGGGCAAAAGAAGCCACAGAAGTGGATGATACAAAGACCCGTGAAGAATGGAGATCAATATGTCTCAGACTGAACCATCGGAAGAAAGCTGCGTTCACTGTTACTACACATTTTCTAACTCCATAGGTGGTGAGTGTTGGGGGCATGCAGCTTTTGTGCTCAGACTTCAGACGCATGGATAGAAACTGATGACTGTGAGGAGTATTTTTTAGAGTATTTATAATGTATGTGCCCGATGCCCCAACCTCCGGTCACATATCTTATAAATTTGACTTTATCGCTCCTTCCTTTGCCCAGACTTTCCATGTCGCCACTTCGGTGTGTATAGCTGCTCCCAAGCCCCTGTTACCATGACCGTAACAAGGCGGTTACAGGCGTCGCGGCCTCTCAGAATAGCTGAGAGGTACTCTGTGTTTCCAGCCAAAAGCAGCTGCCTGTCTTTAGGCATATACCTCACTTTCCTGATAACGATATCTTGTGCAGTAATTCTCTTCCAGGCGCCTCTCAAGTATTCGCGGCACAACTGATGCGCCCTCTCGCAGATATCGGCGTCCAGTGGCGTCAAAGGAGTTGTGCGCACTGCAAGCTCATCGGGATTGCTGTACACCTGTAAATAAATAAGACAGGGCATTACGTTGAGGTGCGTCATGATGCTGACAATGTTAGGTTAGTAAAGTAAAAATGTTTTACTCTTTAATAATTAAAGGTCCATTTGCAAATGGACCCCTCACCCCCACCCTCCGATAACAAGGATAACTAACTTCATGGAGCTGAGTCCTCCTTCAGAAGCCGCCAATTGTGCAGCTACTGAAGAACTTCTCAACATTCAGTGGAATACGAAGGTTCATATACTGTGTTCACAAGATCCCTCCATTGGTCCCTATCCTGAGCCAGATCAGTCTAGTCCATACCACCCCATTCTATAACTCTAAGATTCAGTTTAACATTGTTCACCCACCTACGTCTTGGTCTTCCTAATGGTCTCCTTCCTTCTGGCTTTGCTACTAAAATCCTATATACATTCCTGTTTTCCGTCATTCGTACTACATGTTCTGCCTATCTCATCCTCCTTGGCTTCATTATAATTATATTTGGCGAGGAGTACAAGCTGGGCGTTTATCCAAAGAATCCGTCTAGGTCCGAGGCCCTTTGTGACATTTCGTAAAAACCTTATTTCCCACGGTGAGGAGTTGTAGCCCCACGCCGAACCCCCAAGCTGGAGGACCGTCCCTTGTCGGCTGTCCACGACTGCTTATTCAATATATCGCAGTTACCCTCCATATCTGTGTTTGTGAGAGAGGGGGGAGATGCTTATGCCCGGGGGGGTGTAGGATGAGTCACAATTGAGACCCTACTTTTCATTCCTCACCCTTTCCCCCACCCACCCCACCCCATCTTTCGCCAGGTGGTCCGCTGATGAGAAGTTGTGTTTGTCGGATGCTGTTTGTTTCCGGCCTGTGACGTACATTTAACGAACGACAATGAAGCATCCCAATGCTACTGGGAATTTCCACAGACAACATAAAACTATGATTTTAGATATTATGAACAGGAAAATGCAGCTAAAGCTATGTCCTAGGCATACACTGCTACGGAGCTAGAGGCCGCTTGAATACGGTATAAACCAGTGATAAGCAGTTTCAGGAACATTGTTGATTGAAAACTACGTGTATGTAACAAATGTTCACTGCTGCCTCAAAGCTAACCCGAAATATTCCTCACATTCTCGTTAAGAGAAATACGTTACTATATTGCTTCAGAATTTTTAACAATTATTGACCTTAATAAAAATAATATTGTAGGGAAATTTTCACATTGGTCGCCGTGTTCGAAAAAATACCTCTCACGGACCGAATCCTGCCTCTGGGCCATAGTTTTTCGCGGTCTTCCTCAGTCCTTCCAGGGAAATACCGGAGTGGTACGTCAATTATGTCACGACGGCTTCCATCCATAACCTTTGCAATTCATCACCCAGCGGTTTTCCTGCCATTCGTTGCTGTACGTGGTATAGTCGGAGGCACTTGCTATGTTGTGAAATAAACCAGAAATGAGTAAAAATAAAGTACATGATAGTGGGGCTACTTTAAGAGGTACTTAGGTCTTTAATCTCCTTTGAAACACCCTCTTTAAAAATGTTTTATACCTTCAAGTTTCGCACCCAAAAATATTCTGTAATAGTAAAATGAATACAGTTACCAGTCAACCAACATATGTTTTCCCGTGGCCAGAATGCAGACATGTTGTGATTAGTAACGCGTGGTAATACCGGCAGAAGCCAAGCCATCGTCTGATTTCCCATGTCTTCTTTCCTCTCTACGTTTCCTGACTCTGTCGTCAGAAGCACATATCAACAGAACAACAGTACCTCACTGACCCCGTCCTTAGTTCTTAACTCGCTGTGTAACATTAGAGATGGTAAAGCAAGAGAAAAGGTGTATGAGAGAGTGGATGTATATATCCACTTTTCTTGACCTCGGCACTAGTTGGAGGTGAGTGGTTAGCTTCACGTCCCTGCCGCATTACACCCGAGGAAGAACTCCCGGTACCCATTGGATAGGAGGTTGGATGAACCCCAGAGCCGGTCTGGACGACGTGGCGAAGAGAGAATTCTTGATACTACCAGGACTCGAACACCAACCCCTCAGTCGTCCAGCCCGTATTCAGTCGCTGTAATACAGTCTACGCTATCCCGGCTCCTATACAGATAGTAATGTATGTAAAAATACTTTTCAGTTTGAATTGAAACTGGCTTTGTTAGTTCGGATTTCTTCATATACATAATTCTTTCAGCCCAGCATTTGTCAGCAGCAGTAGTCATAGCTAATTTCGTCTTATTCCTCACAGTTCCATCGGCGGTAGGTTGGCGCGTTCCTCTGTCTGCATGCGAACTGACGTACTCGTTGATAACATCTCGAATGACCAGACCAGAAGGCCATCTACACGTTCATGGCCGATATTATTGTAGCACCGAAGTCGCGTGGTCTGATTCGAAGTCCGGGGTCCTGACCCGGACATAGCACGCGACTGATCAGCTCACTGCGCCCCAAACCGATTGGATAAGCTGACACGTGGCTGTAACGTCACACATATGAGGACGAGTACAGGGTAAAATAGACGTTATCAGAAGTGAGCGATATTACTGTGGGATGTGACGAACTCTTTGCTAAGCTGTGACAGCTGAGGCAGTAAAACCAACGGCTACTGACTTGATAACTGGAGCACATTCGTTACCGCCTTCAGGCCGAATATGGGTTCCATTTAGCCTTCTGTCCGTACAGTACCAATGTCTAGAACGAGTGGAGCGGCACCTCCGTTCATCAGATATACACGTATACCATGCTGCTGTGAGGGAGGAAAAATGTTACCCTTCTCTACGCATGATCGAAATGCATTCTTAAAAGTAATTAATTGTTGATAGTTGTTTCGAATGAATTACTCGGTCCTCCAGATTATGGGGTTGGGACTTCACTCTACTTAGTCTACAGAAGTTTCATGAGTAGACCCCCTCCAAACCACCCTTTAGCTGTTTCCCTCTGTTCCCCCCCAGTCCACTCCGTTCACAAGGGTGTAACAACCTTTTCTAGCTACAAGCGCTTTGTGCTTGCTGGTATATGCAAGATGCTGTGGAGAATATTTTGACTCAAGTGGAAGTAGCAGCAGATTGTTGACAATTACATAACGATGAACTTATAATTCATAAAGTATACCCTCCACGATCATTGTTACGATGAGCAGATCAAGGCGTATAAGATGGGCGGGCTATGTAGCACGTATGGGAGAGACTAGAAGGGCGTACGAAATTTTGTTCGGGAATCCTTGAGGGAGAAAGCCTCTTGGAAGACCTAGGCTTGTATGGAAGGCTAATATGAAAGTAAATCTTAAGGAAACGGAGTTGTTCATTTCCTTCAGGACAGGGTCCCGTAGCGGGCCTTTATGAGCTCGGTAATGGACCATGGAGTTCCGAAAGGGCGGAGAGTTTCTTGAGTAGCCGACCGACAAGCGACAAGCAGCTGGTACATGGAGTGTGCCTATATTTAAGCTTCTGAAGTAACAGCTTTAGGCAGCTGCTTGTCGCTTGTCGGTTCGTCTTCTCTTTCAGTTCATTCCTGCCATTGAGCACCACTCCATTTTGATAGCTCACTTGTAACTCTCTGTGAACATTACCAACATGACGGCCCTAGAGTTTACAAGCCGGGAACAAGGCTGGTCCTATTTGATATGGACAAGTGATGGGCAACCCGCTGCCCACCAGACCTCCCGGTACGCCCACGAGTGAATTGCGCTGACGGAAGAATAAAAAGAGTTTAAAAAAAGCATTCCCAAAATACTTCAGAGAAATATGCACGCACTATTAAACGTTTAAAGAACAACATTACTCTAATTTAAACTAGAGCAGAAATTGTGAACACATGGTTATGATATATAAAATGTACAGCAAGGTCACATAGGCATGTACCGTTGTTGTAACATTTGTGTCAACAGTTCTTCATTATATTCTGTGCGTGAACTTGACCTCTTTCTTCTGCTAGAGCTATTTGTCCTTTGGTAGCTCGAAGTGTAGTAATATTAACTTCACTGTCGAAATGCTGGCTTCCAGAATTTTTGAATTGTTGTGACGGCTTTAAAGTTCGCTTGAAGTGAAGTAATATTAGTCTCATTGTATAAATGCTGACTATCGCTCACTAGTGTTTGGCAATGTTGAAATTTATTCAGTCGTATGTTTTCCATATTGTTGTGTACGTCACTACTATGTAAATTTGCCCGTCGATCGCAACAATTCTACTTTTCCGATAAATAATTGATAGGCTGGATTGTCGATAAAATCAGTTTTAGAAGATGTTATTTTCCATGCTTTCTCTTTCTCCACGCAGCAGCAGCTATGGTTGGTCCTGACCGTCATCGACTTTACCTGCAGTGTCCTGCAGGGACTCCTTTTAATTTCCTTGTTTCTCCATTTCGAGCTCTATGTTCAATTGTCATAAGCTTTTATTGTTTCGATGCTTTCCTCAGTACAAGCATGCAAACGCCGGATCAATACCTCTTGTCCCACTGTACTTCCAGTAATTCCTGCAGCTGATATAAGCTACCGTTAGTTGTTGCAAGGTATCTGAAGGGAATGAGAGAAATCTCTCCAATCACATTAGCCGTTCATCAGCCGGATCTAAACCGACAGCTTGCGAAAACAACCTACTCAGTCTTGAACGTTGTAGAAGGTATCGAAATGTGTGTACATTTTTCTTAATATCATAGTGAACATTAATGGAATGTTTACCCATTCTTCAGCCGCCTCTGTGATCTAGTGGTCAGAGTTCCTGCCTACAGATCCAGAGATCCCGGGTTCGATTCCCGGCGCTACCAGATTTTCTGAGAACGGGGTCCACTCAGCCTCGTGAGGATAATTGAGGAGCTATTTCAAGGAAATAACGGATCCGGTCTAAAAAACCGAGATTAACGGCCGTGGGGATCCGTTGCGCTGACCACGTGACACCCTCCATCCGCCAAAGTTGGCACTAACTTCGCCGACAAGCGGCGGTCGCTCGGTCAGTATAGTTCGCTTGCGAACTACACGCCACGGAGTTTATCCATTCTGCTGCTACAAATTTATGCTCAATGCTATTTATAAGCTTGTTTCTTTAGTCAACAAATGACAATAAATCTGACGGCAGTATCCTTGTCTGTGAAAGAATACCTTAGGTTTACTAATCGTACAGGCAGGCCTGGATGGACGCGAGATCAACTAACCTGGTCCGTGTCTATCAGGGAGGTCTCGTGAGGCGGAGCCGCTTCTCCGTCGAACCTTTCCATGTGATGCGATGCCTCTTCTTCCTGTGAACAAGGGTTCAGTTCATTGGTTTGCTAATTTTTCTGAACGTCTGTATACAGGCTGTAGATTATGTCAGATAGTAGCTTACAGGTATGATATTTCTAAAAGTTATCATAGTTCACTGATATGTTGGGATTTTGGACTTTATCCATCGTCCTGGTTTTTAAGATAACAAATAAAAACACGACGTTTCGGAAACTGGATCTGTTTCCGTCCTCAGGTGAAGGAAAACACCTATTCAGTTGGGTCCGT